ACAAGTTGTTGTCTCTTGGAGGACTCTTGCGAAGCCCCTCTTTTCCTCTTGTTCCACCCCTTCTTGTTGTTGTTGTCCTTTTGTGGCTAGTGTGTAGGGATTTTTGGATTCTGGTGTTTCCCGTGGTCTATGAGAGATTGTGCCAGCTCCTTGGCGCTGTCAAAAATGACAGGCTTGGAAGCTAACACACTTGACTGGATCTGAGGCGACAGTCCCCAGATGTATCTCTCTATTCTTTTGCTCTCCAGAGCAACCATGTCAGGGCATAGGATTTCCAGATCACAAAACCTATTTGTGTAGGTTGATATGTCGGATCCAACTATTTGTAGACCCCAGAGTTCCTGCTCGAGTTTTTGTATTTCCCTTCGAGGACAGTACCCCCTCATCAGGATGGATTTTAAGTTTTCTTAGCTGATGGAATTATCCACCACTATAGTCAGAGACTTAACATGGCCATTCCACCATGTTAGTGCTCTGTCAGAGAAGGTAGAAGTAGCAAACTTGACCTTGTTGCCCTCCGGGCAGGCGCAGATTTCAAAGACCGCTTTCCTCTTTTCAATCCATTGCCTTAAGACCATAACCCAACCAGTTCCATTGAAGTTTTGGGGTTTGGCATTCGTGAAGTCCTCCCGAGGATGTCCATGGCTCTCACCGTGGTTGGAGGGATGTGCACATGTTTCTGATCCACTAGAGGCAGGAGTATTGATGGCTGATACAGAAGCTGCTACGGCTGCTGTAAAGGCTGCATGGAACATAGTGGCATCAAAAGGAGGAGATGGTTGAGGAGGTTGAGGTGGTGGAGGAGGTGGTGGTATCGGTGTTTCGTTATTTTGGTTACGCCTGGGATTCCTGCGAGGCGGCATCTTTTAACTATACGTTTAAAAAGATGACAACATTGATCAGAATAATCGAATAATGAGAGTGACTCATGGACTAACCCTCCATAGTCCGACAACACAATGGATAGTCTGATTGAATGAAGATGATAGCATTTGGATAATAATTTCCATATGATTAGATATCTGTCAATAATACTGGAATTACAGATGTAACAAGTTCGGGAAAAGTGGCCTAAAAGTAGGCCTTACATCAACCAAGTTAGGAAAATTTTGACAGAACTATGACTAGATCAAGACCTAACAGGTCTAAGATTTACAAAGATAGGAAATTAGACCAAAGTTTTTACATAAACTAGGTTATATCCAAAACATGAGTCGATGAGATTCTATCGGCGACGAGAACTGCTAGCATGAATTCTTGATCCCGACAGTAGGCGTTCTATGTCTCTTATACGCTTGTCAGTTCTCACTTGCTGAGCTCGAAGTTCCCTAACTTTAGCTTGGGTTTCAGCAAGTTCTCTCTGCAGAGCTGCATTGCGGACCAGAGTCCTTTCCTGAGCAGACTCGAGTTGGCGAATGCGGACAGTATTAACACCAAAGTTGGCATCAATCTCCAAGACTCGATTGATAGTTGATTGACCTAGTATCGTGTTCTGATAAATCCTAAGAACCATGATGGGTAGGACCCTGTCAGCAGAACCTCCCTCAGTGAGGTTGTAAAAACTTCTGTCTCTGTCGCAGGGGATAGGTTGACGTTGTTCCTGACTCCATGTATTCAAGTTTGTGGCCCACAGAGGCGTGGGTCCTTGAAATGCAGGATGGGGGTTTAGGTTTGGGTTTTGAGCAACTAGAGGCAGGTTGTTGACTTCAGGCTCCGAGTCAGAACTATCAAAGAAGCCTTCGGCCTGGTGATCATCCAAAGGGATTTGGTGATCATCTTCTGGTTCTTCTTCTAGCCATCCAACGTTGCCTTCGTTTGGGAAGTACAGGTCGCCGTGGTGAAATCCTGCCATGATATCTACGCGAGAAAAGGGATATAAGAACTAACTAACTACACGAACTAATTAAGATAATTACAGTAAGACCAAATACCTATATGGTATTTCTTTGTGGTTGTGTTGGTAAGTTTTTAGACTTGATGCCACATCACAACCATTCTTGGGTATATGCTAATCACTCCTTGGACCAACATAGTTGATCAGGCTATGCCACTCCCAAGATTGACCATATATCCCCAGGCTCACTTGTGATATTCAACAATCGTAATACTTTTATTTTTGTCGTTGTGACACCGATATTAGTATGAATGCAGGCACGTATACTTTATTAAATATTTTATTATTTAAAAGTATATACTCTTAGTCAGAGTGTTTTAATCCCAAAGTATTTATAGTTAGTATATCTTTTATGGGTTGAGGGGTGTAGGACGTCATGTATAGTATCACAACACTGCAAAGTAGTAAACAAGCAACAACATCATCCATTGCATTAAAAGTAAATATTTAATACATGTGTGTTCTTTAGTAGTAATAAGACACCAAAATATGAAATCAAAAGAAAAGATGAGTCTTGTTTGTGCTTCGTCTTCTCAAAACCTGGCCATCGTACCTGACAACTGGTGACCTGAGAATACAAGTTATTTTGAAAGCGAGTATCAGCATAAAGCTGGTGAATTCATAAGTATTTAAGTGTCATTGCCTTGTTTTGGAAAACTGTTATGAATGCTATGAAAATCTTTGAATGAAACATTTGATATAAGTATGAAACCCTGGAAAATCCCATATTTCCTATTAGTATAAGAGTAGTCTTCTACCAAGACCCGAATGTTTTGAAAGTAGTCTTCTAGCAAGACCTGTATGTTTTGCTGTAACAAAGATGGTTTTCCCCTTTATGACTGCTATTAACAATATATAGTCTACCTCCTCGTTTGTGTGAATGTATCACAAATTAAAAGTAATAGGGAAAATTTAACCATAAAAGTATTATCCTTTTGCATTAGGATAAACATGACATCGCGACTGCCGAAATGTATAACCTTGAACATCCGTAGATTGTTCATTTTCCTCTGTAGCTAGCAGCGGGTTTAAGGAATGGTTAGTCCCGTAAAGGTACTCCTAATATAAGTATCAACCGTAGGCATCCGTAGATGTTCATTACCTCTGTTGCTAACAGGTGCGTTCTGGAATGGTTAGTCCTGTCTAGTTATCCTTTTGTACTAGGATAGGCAGAACAATTTACAAATAATGTACTAGTAACTCATCATATTGAATCTAGGTACAAGTATCCATGTAAGTGTATACAAATAAATGTATATATGTAAATGTATTCATGTAAGCGTATCGATGTAGACGTATTCATGTAAGATGTAATGTATAGTATAGACTAATGAATGAACTGACTCTAGTGTAATTCTTTGTAATAAGAATAATGTTTTGTATCTCCTAACTATCCTTATAATTGTTAACTGGAAGGTAATTGATTGTCCAAGCAGGTTTATACACCCTTGCTACACAAGAGTGTGGGAAACTGACTGAAGGATGAAAGCTATCATATCAATACATATATAAGAACATAAGTGTATATATATAGTTTTGTTCAAGAAGATAAAAATGGTTTTGTAAGACATTTAAGAGTTTTGAACAATAATTAACAATGACTTGATGTCATTTTAATAAACATTTCAAAGTAATACATTTGATAAGAAAGTATTTTTACGATAGAAAACCATTTCCTACATCACATTTTGAAGCATGTGAATCAGTTGGATGAAAACACAGTTATAAATCACATGTGATTGATTCTATAGAATGCTGTTTTTTACTTGTATTCCCCCCATTAAAGAATTTAAAATCATTTAAAACATTGATTAAGGGGTATGAACTCACCTGTAGATGATGGTTTGAATGAACTGAACAGTGTAGGATTGCTAAGTGTCAAGTGAAAACTTGTACACACCCAAAGATCCTAGTTAACATATAATCACCCATATATGCCCCAATTAGTCTTAAACTACTAATTGAAAATTTTAAGACATCCTAGAACATGATAAACACTTTATATAAGTGTTATAAGCCCTAAGGATTGCATCTAAGTTGTTGTAGGATAAGGCTAGTGGGTTTAGGGTTCCAAAGGACCCCATTCTTGAGTTTACTCTCCAATACCATAACAACAAGGAGTTTACGGTCGTAAACCCTTGAGTTTACAACCGTAAGCTCCTAAGCCTTAGTTTATTTGGTGTTTTGAAGTCTTACATGTCCCTTAGAAGTATTGCTACTTGATGGCTTAGTCCTTGGAAGAGATTAGCGCACCTTTCAACTCCTTTGAGGAGTTCACGGCCCTGGGACCAATTCCCTTAGAGATTACGGCCGTAATATCTCATGGGTATGGTGTTTTTGGTGATTTCAAGTCCCCTAACTTAAGTAGGAATGCATCTAGGCTTGTGTCCAAGGCTTATGGAGAGTTTAAAGCGCAATTTGGCCCTTTTGCTTGGGGTTCACGGTCCAAGAACTTCTTGGGTCGTGAACACCTTACTCTTGGTGTTCTTGGGGTGTTTTATAGTCCTTCATACATTAGTATATGAGGCTAGGCAAGTTTCATTGCAAAAGGAAGGGACTAGGGCACTCATTTTTATGGTCCAAGATGTTCTTGGGCTGTAAACTCTTCGATCTTGTGGTTTTGATACGATTTATAGTTTATTAGACACATATCAACCCCTATAATACACTTAGATAGATGTACTCACGATCTGGGACGAAAGGCCGAAGATCCGTGAGAGAGAATTTGGCTTTTCTCTAGCTGGAAATCGAACAAATGAATAAATATGGCTAAGGATCATATATATACCCCTAGGGTTTTGGACCGCAAACTCCATGTTCGGGTCGTATAATTCCAATTTCTTGGAGTATGAAATGTCATTGTTACACAATAACCCTAATCACATCCCCTCTCATAACATTTCCTAAAGTATAAATCATAAGATGTTCAAACTTATCCCAAATCATTTGAAAGTTAACATTAACTGTTCTGACTTCTATTGACTTGATATGTAGTACAAAATGGAAATTTCGGGTTGTCACACTATATACTCCTTTCCACACTGAATCAATCAAATCTTCCACCACTACTACCATTTCACAACCAGTGACTGTCAACATATCTGATATGGGGGCAGGTGCTATTGGTGTTACTCTTTGTTTTGCTTCTTTTACTATATCTCCTTTAAGGCAAGATGATCAAGATACAAATTTTGCTGGCTATCATGATGAGTTTCAATATTCCAAATACAGTCCATTCAATGTTCAAGAAGAAAGTGATGATGATGCACCAATTACGAAAGGAAAATTCAAGGCTGTCAATGAGAAGTTGGATAATCTACTTGAGTCTTCCAAAACTTCTTCAAGAATCGAATACTCATTTGAGTCTATCAAAGCTTTAATCGAGACCCTCACCAAGGAGCACACCAACAGTCCAGTAGCCTCTACAAAAGTTGTTGAGAACTTAGAGTCGACAGTGCGAGAAATGACTGAGAAAGTCGAAAAACTACTAGCCAATGTGACTCATTTTATGGAAGAATTTCAGAGTTCGTCTGAGAATAACATTGCTACTGCGAATAAAGTAATCACAAATATTGGCTATATTCTTCAATCAGAAAAAGAAGCTCTCTATAAAGTCCATTCAGATCTGCAAGTTGATAATACAAAAATGAATGCTTTTGTTGTTTCAAAGATCGAGAAACTTCAAGTTGATCTTGCCATTGAGAATGCCCTCATGGACAAGCTCGTAGTCAAAACTGAAAAGGTTAAAGTTCTTCCAGTGAACCTATCACATGCAAAAACGCAAATTGATGAGTTGAAATCTGAAAGGGATGTTATGAAAAGTGGTGTTGCAGATGTAAATTAATACCTGTAGAATCTCGTCAAGACTCGTGACTCTTTGCTCACAGTCTCTATCTGAAAACCTCTTGCTGAGAAACTTAAGCCTGTGTTTTCCATGATCAACCGATTAGAAGGTGTTTAGGAGTCTGGTTCTCATCCGAAACAAGGAGGAGAAGTCAAGAAACCAGCTGGTGGTTCTGACGAAAACGAGACAATGAAATATCCACCCAAGACAAAAGATCTAAAGGGTAATAATGCTTTGGGATCGAAAGGAAAAGGAAAATTGATTGATGATGATAAAGAAGAAGAATATCTATCCGAAGAGGCTTAACTCAGAAAAAAATGTAACCAAGAGCTTGATGAAGCTCACCGAGTTGCAACAGAAGCCGAATCTCAGGAAAGAGAGGCTCTTGATGCTTAACTCAAACCGAAAACTCAGATAACCCTATTTCCTTCTTGGTCCAGGGAGCGAATTTGTTGTTCCTTAACCCTTACGATTGGATTTCTTTGTTCAATCTTTTTTCTAAATATAAACAAAAATTTGAACCTATTGTGGCGCATCTAAAAAGGATGTTGATCTCTTATATTCTAGAAGTTGGGAAAATGGACGTTGGGATAGCGGATGCAGTACGAAAGAAACCCTATGTACTACCAAAAGAAGCTATGAATGATGTCACGAAGATGAAGCTCGAAAGAATCCACAGGGACAATTCGAGTGTGACTTTACAACAAAGTAATAGAGATGGAACGAATATTCACAAGTGCATATTTTCTTTACCCGACAATCATCTCTATTCCACTTCATGTCAGAACTATATCGTGGGTATTACGGAACAATGCAAGGAGAACAATGTTCCTAACAAGAAATGCTTCTCAAACATGATTAAGTGGTATATCACAGTTCGCAACACCTTGCTCTGTTTAGTGTCAAAAATTTTCAAGGTTTAGAAGCATTTTCAATAGTGAAGAATCTTCCTTCCTTATTGAAACAAAGTGGGAGATTGTTGGGATATTTATTGTGTTGTATCTATTTTGTTATGCATGTATTTATTCTTTATTGTTATTGGATTGAGCTTGTCCATCCGTCATTATGGTTCTAGGGTTAGACTATAAATATATTGTGTGTGTATTGTTCTAGTGTAAATGTTTGATTGCCTATGTATCTTAATAGAGAAGTTCTACTCGAACTCTTCTAAGATATTGATAATAAAGCATTTGGCACCCTTCCAATCATATTCATTCTTGTTTTTATTGTTTTAATCATATAAATTGTTTTGAATCTATCGATCTTCATTTAATTATCTCTACATAAACCCCCAATATAGGCCTTACCCCTTGATCCAATAAACTTCCTTAGTCTAAAGGCTCGATTACAGATGGCCCATATGGCCCAAAACAGTAATGTCCAAAGAAGTAGCCCAACTGAGGCCTAAAGGACGTAAAGCCCAATCACTGAGTATGCGGGGCATACTTGACTGTACGCGCTACATGGCTTGTATGTTGCACGTAAGAGCTCTTACGCCCAACATACTCACCCATTATACCATTTCCCATTAAGCTCTTGATTACTTAAGTACAAGGGTCTCAGTCACGGATCTGAGTCATACGCAACATCATAAACCAAAAAGTCATTAACTTGGTGGCTTTGCATTCCCCAAATGAACCCAAACCCAAAATATACCACTCTACTTTCATTAAATGAACTCAAACTCATGCATGGATGGTTCTAAGCTTCAAAGATGGCAAATTTATGACACTAGGACCAAAAGAACACCATGAATAGCAAGTATAAGCTTCAGAAATGATAATAATCCACAAGATCTCATATATGGGGCCAACAAGGGTCCAAAAATTCAAGAAATGAGATCTAAGCTCTAACACAAAAAGTTCAGAGATTTATACCTCAAATAAGTGCCAAAAGATGATGATATCCCGGATCTTCAAGTTCAAGCTCCCTTCACCAGCTTCTTCTTCTTCCTTCCAAGGCACCAAACTACCAAAATTACACTCCACAAGGTAAAGAACACACCAAAATGCTATAGGGTTTGATATTAGGGTTTCTGGACAATATCGGCAGATAAGGAGGCTAACAATTGGGACTTAATGACATTATATAGGGCTTGAACCCTACAAATCAGGGTTTTGAGTCTGATCACGTACGCTGTGTGCACCACCTTGTACACAGTGCATAGGTTTATGCCTCCATGTACCATATGATCCATCTACACCCCGCGTACACTAGTCTTACGCACAACGTACGGCCTCGACTAAGCCCACACATAAAAGGCCCAATCCACTAAGCCTACTACAACATACTAGATTTAGATAATTAAATAAATATTACGTTAGAACCATCATGTGTTACAATTCTCCACCACTTAAATCAAACTTTGTCCTTGAAGTTCGTCGTTCCAAATAACTCAGGGTAGTGCTCCCTCATCTTGTCCTCGGGCTCCCAAGTCCACTTTGATCCCTTGCGGTGCTACCACTGCACCTTCACCAGCTCGACTACCTAATTCCTCAAGGTCTTCATCTTTCGATCCAAAATCACCACCGGTCTCTCAATATAATTCAGGCGGTCATCCACCTAAATATCCTCCAATGGTACCACTGCAAAATCATCCACCGAACACTTCTGTAGCTTGGAGAATTGGAACATACTATGAATCTGAGTAAGCTCATTCGGAAGATCCAAGCGATAAGCAACCCAACATGAGCCAAAACCCTCAATGGACCAATATACATATGGCCCCAGCATGCCTCGCTTCCTGAATCGGATGACACCTTTCCAAGGTGACACCTTCAGGAGAACCATATCTCCTACCTGGAACTCCAAGTTTGACCGGGTACTGTCGGCATAACTCTTCTTCCAACGTTGTGTTGTTTGAAGCTTGCTTTGAACTTGTTGAATCAGCTCAATGGTCTTGAGTACCACCTCAGTACTCCCCATAAATCGATGACCGACCTCGCCCTAACAAACCTGGATCATGCATTTCCTCCCATAAAGCATCTTAAAAGGAGGTCAATCAATGTTGGCGTGATAACTATAGTTATACAAAAATTCCACTATCGGAAGATACGTATCCTAACTCCCGTCGAAGTCCAACACACAAGCACGCAACATATCCTCAGGAGTCTGTATAGTCCGCTCAGTCTGACCGTCGTTTTGTGGATGAAATTTTGTACTAAAATGGAGACGAGTGCCCAACTCCTCATGCAACTGCTTCCAAAACCAGGTAGTAAAGAGAACATCCCTGTCCGAAGCCACTAATACCAACTCCCCATGACGTGCCACTACCTACCTCATATAAATCTCGGCCAACTTCTTTGCAGATATACTATCCTGGATCGGAATGAAATACACGCTCTTGGATAAATTATCCATGATGAACCAAATAGAATCTACTCCGTGCATAGTCCTAGGAAGTTTTGTGATAAAATCCATAGTGATGTCTTCCAATTTCCATACATGAATCTCTAACGATTGCATCTTGCCGTGAGGTTACTGATGCTTGGCCTTAAATTTCCTGTAAGTTAAGCACCGCTCCACGTACAAAGTCACATCCCGATTCATACAGTGCCACTAATAATGAGGACAAATATCCCTATAGATCTTCGTCGCCCCGTGATGAATAGAGAATCTCCACTTTTGAGCCTCCTACATCAGGACTTGACGCACAGTGCCCTAATACGGAACCCATAGTCTCCGATACAGAGTCAACAGTCTGCGACTATCATAATCAAAGGAAGCCACCTGAACCACTATACGCTCGCTCTTTTTATGCTCTTCCTTCATAGCCTAAACCTATGCCTTGTGAATCTACTCCAACAATGGAGTAATCACAGTTATCCTCAAACATAGATATCTAATAGGAGCCATGACCACCTTGTAGCTAAGAGCATCAACCAACATATTAGCTTTCTCTGGGTGGTAAAGGATCTCGCAATCATAATCCTTCACTACATCCAACCATCAACGCTGCCTCATATTAAGATTTGGTTGGTCCATCAAATACCTCAGGCTCTTGGGATTCGTATAGATAGTACAACAAACCCCATAGAGGTAATGCCGCCAAACCTTGAGGGCGAAAACCACGACCCCAACTCCAAATCATGTGTCGGATACTTCGCCTCATGAGGCTTCAACTGCCATGAAGCGTAAGTGATCACGCGACCCCACTGCATTAACACTGCCCCCAAACTTATGATTAAAGCGTCACACTAAAAAAAGAAATCATCTAAACCCTCAGGCAGGGTCAGAACCAGTGCCTCACCCAACCGGTGTCTAAGAGACTTAAAATCTACTTGCTACTCATACCCCCAATGAAATGTCACCGGCTTCTTGGTCAGTCGGGTCAAGGGAACATCGATCTTGGAGAAATCCTGGATGAATCTCCGATAATAACCAGCCAGACCAAGAAAACTCTGAATCTCAAGTGGAGACCTTGGAACCTCCTACTGCGTCACAACCTAGACCTTGTCCGGATCGACTAGGATACCCTTCTGGTTGACAAGGTACCCTAGAAACTGCACCTCGCACAACCATAACTTGCACTTAGAGAACTTTGTGAATGGTCTCTCCCTCCTCAATGTCTCCAACACTTCCCTCAAGTGCTCCTCATGTTGCTCCTGAGTCTTGGAATAAACCAAGATATCATCCATGAATACTATCACAGACTGATCTAACATCGGTCTGCACCGGCGGTTTATGAGATCCATGAATATGACTGTAGCATTAGTGAGCCCAACAGGAATCACCACGAACTCATAATGATCATATCGAGTCCAGAAAGCTGTCTTCTGCACAACCTCATCTCGTACCCGCATCTGATGATATCTTGATTGCAAATCAATATTGGAGAACCAAGATGCACCATGAAGCTGGTGGAAAAGGTCATTAATTCTCAGTAGGGGATATCGGTTCTTCACCGTTACCTTATTCAGCTCCCAGTAGTCGATATACATACAATGATAATTGTACTTCTTCTTCACAAAAAAAATTGGTGCTCCCAAAGGCGAACTACTCGGCCTAATAAATCCTTTGTCTAACAACTCATGCAGCTATGTAGACAACCCCTGCATCTCGGGAGGAGCCAGCCAATATGGTGCTTTGGTTATCAGAGCCACACTTGGGACCGAATCAATCCTGAACTCCACCTGCCTCTCTGGAGGCACCCCAGGAAAATCCTCTAGGAACACTTCTGGATAATCCCGCACGATCGACACATCATCTACAATCACCTTACCCTTATCCTGCGAGTCCATGACATAGGCAACCAAACCCGAATAAGCCTGATGCAGATAGCATCTGGCCCTCTCTGTAGCGCACATAATCGGCCCACAGTACGGCCTTTAACCCTGAATCACCAAACCTCCTCCACTTGGGGTCTAAACCAAAACTAATTGTTGCTCACAGTCGATCAATGCACCCATTAAGGCTCAACCAATCCATGCCTACGATAACCTTGTTCTCACATAGAGGAGTGGGAACCAGATCAACCAGATATTGCTCTCTGAATAACTAGAGAGTACAACCTCGATGAACCCTTGTAACCCGAACAGACCTATCATCAGCAATCTAGACATCTAGAGGACAATCCAGCTCCCCTAGAGCACTAACAAATCTCTTGCTAAGCATAAGAGATACAAACGATAGGGTAGCCCCCGAACCAAATAATACCATAGCAGAGATACCGTTCACAAGGAACGGTACTAAAATGAAACACATAAACATGAGCAAACAATTCAATATAAATAAAGAGATAAGGAGAAGATACATAACCATCACAACATCAGGAGCTGCATGCGCCTCCTCTGTTGTCATCTGGAAAGTCCTACTTTTTGCCGCAGGCGCATCTACCCGGCCCTAGTGTTGAGCATCAACACTACTGGTTGATCTAAAACAAATTGGTGTTTGAAAGGATGCATACTTACCCATATAACACATT